AGCATCTCCACATTTTCCTTCCTCTTTTATGGGGCCAAGAGAAGAAAGAAGGGTTAAAGATTGTGCTTACTTCTACTGGCATATCCCAACTAGACCCAAACAAAGATAGAAGCCAAGCCCAGAGCTCTGCAGTGACACTACAAGATAAAAATAGATTTGATTTCTTTGTTCGCAGTGAATTGATTAATAAATTCAGTAAGGTGGGAACAAAGAACTAGATTTGATTTCTTTGGGTAATGGGATGAGATTATCACAAAGAACTGGTGAATTGATTAATAATTCCTTTCTTATTGTATGCTAACTAGAAAAAAAGTGGGAACAAAGGCAAACATTTACCATGTTAAATTTTTAATTATTTAAAGGAGCAGCGGATGCACTTCTATCCCTTTATTCAGAACAATATTGTCATTGACAATGGGGAAATGTGTACATTAATATAAAAGATAAGAAATAACTGCAAGCCCTATCTTCAAGTGCTAAGGCAGATTGAGCTCCACCAGGGGCTTCTTAGTAATTCATATTTGAGAGATGTAAAAAACATACATTGAGTTATTGTCAGATTGGCATGTTAGCTGATCAGGGTAGAATGTTTTAGCAAAGTTTTTCTTTATACTTTTTTCCTTCTTTTGATCGGGATTAACAATGCTTCATTGTTTTCCTGTTGATTGCTCAATATTTTTTCCTTTACTTTTTCTTTTCTTTTTTTTGGTGATTTCCAGTTTGTCCTTTCTACAATTACTAGAAGCAACTTACCAAACAAATGAAGCATTCAAAAGAGAACATACCTCTTCAAGGACTTAATCCACAGGATGAATCATGTTATACTAAAGTAAAGATTACCCATACAATCTATGCCACTAGCACAACAATAGATGCTAGTAGCGTCTAAATTCTAACAACATGCAAATCAGTGCAGAAATAAGGTGTGGAAACATCCCATAGGTTTTAATTCTGATGGGCAACAGAAAATTATTGTATGATATGTAAGGATGATCAGAAGAGTGCATACAAATCTTCATACTCGATGAAACATATAAATCTGAGGCATCCTGACCCTCAAAAGGCTGGTCTCTATAAATAAAATGTATAATATGAAACCTTCAGCTCAAAAGAGGAAACATCCCATAGGTTTTAATTTTGATGGGCAACAGAAAACTATTGTATGATATGTAAGGATGATCAAAAGAGTGCATACAAATCTTCATACTCGATGAAACATATAAATCTGAGGCATCCTAACCCTCAAAAGGCAAAGGCTGGTCTCTATAAATAAAATGTATAATATGAAACCTTCAGCTCAAAAGAGGAACCTTCATTCTATGGTATGTCTGCCAATGGACTAGATTTAATCAAATCCAAATAAACTGGATTTGGACAACCATTATTAATATCCAATTGGATTGGACCATGCTTAATAATCCATTTTCTTATCAGATTGGATTGGATCTATATCTGTTTGGATCCATTAAAAAACCAATCCAATAAAAAAGCCAATCTCATACAGAGGTTTAAAAAACTCTACGCCCTTGATGAGTTGATGTCTAAGAAAATGTTACTAGAAGTAACATTTGAGTTTTTTATTTTTTTCCCACCAGAAACAATAGAGGAAAATATAAACATATAGGAGGTATCATGGCCTACTTTAAAGGAAAGCTGATGTCACCATTTCAAACATAAAAAAACTGTTAGCTTTCTTGCTTTTTAATTACTAGCTAAGTAGCATGTGAGAGGAGAGAGAAGGGAGAAGAATTAGACTTCCATGGAAGGAAATCAAATTTGGGGTGGGGGTGGCGGGGAGGAATAAATGAATTAGATTTTTCCAATGGTGGTCAGCACATGAAGCCAAGGCAAGTATCAGCATTATATAGTAAAGATAATGCAATGTACGGCATACCAAAAAAAAGGATCATGCAAAGTATTAAACAGCCAAATGCTTTATTAAACTAGTTATATTAAATCTAAGAGTAAAATCTTTTTTATTTCAGTCAGATGGAATGGATCCCATCCGAACCATTTGTTTTAAATTAAATTGGATTGCATTCTCTTTTTATTGAGTTTGGATCGGATTTGATCCAGATTGTTTATATTGGATTCATATTTGGATTGGATCAGATTGGACCAAAATCCAGTCCATTGATAGCCCTATTCAATGGTATCCTATTTCGCAATTCCCATTTGTGTTTTGCATGTAGCTAAATGTAAAAGGAAGAAAATATTGCAGCTATAATTTCTGGACATAGATACAAGTATCATGTGACAAGACAGGCACAGAATATCTWAATGTGGCATGGACATCACGTTCACACACCAATTCTACATGGCATGGTGGCATGGTATAATTAAAAAGATATTTTCCCGACAGATCACAAAAGGAACCTGACCTCAATTGAGGTCGTTCATCAGAGTTATACAATAATTAGGCTTTTACACAAATGTACCACAAGACAGAACATAGGGAATGAATATCTTAAAGAGTAAAAGAATCAACATTTCCATGCTTCATGTTTACAGAATAACAAAATTCAGTACAATAATCGGCTATAGTCTTTTAAGCTAAACCAAAGAGAAGAACAATATTCAGAATAGCTTAATCTTTTACTCCTACTAATCACTGCACTCTAAGCAGTAACCAACATTTCAAGGTCCAACCCAGAAAAGTTACTCCCGCAAGCTTAATCCATCAATTTAACATAACAAACGCAATTAAAATCTAAAAAATAAAAATTACAGAAAAAACCAATTTGATCTTCATTAGTCACACTAACCTTCCAAATGCACCCTCAAAAAATAGGAGCAGATCCCATTTCTCTGCAAAGAGAAAAGGTGCAGAAAAGACCAAAAAGGACTTAAATTATCAAAGTGCGCATGAACAAATCAGTATCTTCAAAAAGTAAAAACAAAAGAAAGGTTCAAACTCCACCAAAAAGAGCAGGAAAAGGCCAACAAAAACGTACTTGGGATGGCGAATTGAAAGTGAGGCCTGGCTGCTTCAGATCGACAAGGCAATGGAACGGAGCTCCAGTCTGTAATGGGGTCTGATTGCAAACATATAAAGCAATAAAAATAAAGACAAGGTGCCAACTTCGCTGGTCCTTGAACTTTAGTGTCAATTACCTACAAAAATAAATAGAGAAACAGTGAGGTCATTGTAGAGGTGAAAATATTTGAAAAATTAACAGTGAGAGAGCGCTCCGCATTAAGCTGGTCAAAGTTCGGATAGTTTTGGATCTCCACCCCAGCTACCACTCCAGCGTCCTAATTTGTTGCTAGTTCGTCGGATGGAAGCTTCAGGGAGGACGGAGGAGATAGCAAATCAGGAAGAGAGAACGGACGCCGCAGTCGGGGGAGAGAGAGAGAGAGAGAGAGGGTCCGAAGAAGACGATGAAGGGGGGAGAAATAATACCTGGACCATGCCTTCTCTTTCTATGGTTCCTTCCTCCCCACCTGATAACCCTAAAAGCCCTCCACCACCGTTCGACCATCGTCACTGCTCCCTCACTGTTCACTGTTCTTCGGATTTGATACAATCCTGAAACGGAAACATAAAACGTTCTTTAAATACATATTTATTATGAATGATAGCATATAAACAAATGATAAGGTGTAGCAGAAACAGATAATGTACACATACAGCACAACTCACTGTATCTATAAAGATGCTTTTTGTCATTATATAGAAAAAATCAATTAGTAGGGCTGGATTGGACTGAAATCTATTCTTTAAATGATTTTTATATTAAGATTTCAGTACATTTTCCATTTTTATTATCCCAAATAGCCTTCCATTTTGAATGAATTTTAGATAACGAAAAATCAAGAATTTTTAACTCTTAAAGCATCATTTTTGTGTCCATGGTAGAAATAAGAATGCTTAATAGGTATGTGGTGACGAAGTTTTTTTTTTTTTAAATCGAACTAGACAGGAATCGTTCTGGGACATCGGCAGGTTATTGATCAAATCAATCGTTTTGGCCAAAAAAACAGTTTTGGGGTCAAGTTTTTCTGTTCGGCCGGTTTTGAAAACCATGGTGGTGATAATAAAAAGAACAATTGTAAAATGCAGTCATACAAAATAACTAAGAATAGCTCAAAAAGGGTGATAAAATGATAAAGGTAGGTAGATGGTTTGAAGACCATTTATCATACTTATTTGAAAAAAAAATATGATCCGTTAGAAATTGAAGAGGCCAAAGTAGTTAGGAACAGACGTAAAACGGACTTCGTTAAAAGTTACGAGGAATGATTTAAGCTCTCATAATTCAAGGAAGGATATATGATACTAAGTAAAACAGTGAAACTGGATTCATGTAACCGATCACTATAGTAAGCACAAGGCATAGATGATGAGGATGATAGTGGTGGGGTAATTTTTGTGTTTGAAAAGCAACCATTATTGGAGACCTAACTTGGAAGAATTCGCATTCTGTGAACCTATGGATTCACCGGAAGCGTGAACCCACCAATCAGATGAACACATCTGCAACTTAGAAAATTATCAACTTAACGGGAATTTGCACGTTAGTTGAAGAATTCCGGTTGAATCGGACAGAAAAGGACAAAATTTCATTTCCTTTGGTCATTTGAGATTTTCGAAGTCCCTCCCATTTTCTCCTCTTCTCCGTTGAGCATCCCATTTCAAAGTCCCTCCCATTTGCTTCTCTTCTCCAATGAGCATCCCGCCGCAGACCTCACTGCAAACTCGCGTTTGTGACATGAAATACCGGCAGCGGCAAGGAATCAACTGCCAGGCACAACCAAAAACATCTTGTCCCTTGAAATCTCTCTCTCTCTTGCTCTGCGACTCAGCTCAACTCCAAGTTTTAACAACTAAGTTCCAAAAACAACCCCCTTAGAGAGTTATGGAACTTGTTCATGTGAAATATGTAAAATGGATCTATAATATGTATTGATGACCAGTATTCAAGAGAATCTGAATGATATGTACCTATATCAAACAAATTAAAACAAATTTTTACAAAAAAATGTAAAGAAGTCCAAATTTTTTAGGGAGAAGTACCAATCAACCCAGATCAGAATTTACTAGGCCTAAAGTACAGGGGAAATACATCTTGATCGTGAATTGATGCCAAATTCACAGGCATGATGTGATTTATAAGGGAGGAGAGGGTTAGTTGCAGAGGGGGGCTGGAATTCAGAATTCTGCATTTTATGTTTCTGTACTTTTCCCGATTTTTTATGAGTCTCTTCSGCAATTTTTTGTCTTGAATATCAATAAAAAGTAATATTTTTATAAAATAACTAAAATAGAATAACTTTTTAAAGAAATATATAAAAAAAGGGCAATGACATTTTTTTATATCATCCGAATACACTGTTCATGCGAGAGGCGGAGCAGGGCACAGGCACATTCTTCTTCACGGTTACTATTCCGGAATCGTGGTGACACCGTTCTCTTGAAGCTGAGCATTGCATCGAGTTTGAGGTTATCTCTCTCTTTTCGTTTCTCCCTGGATTCGATGTTGTTGTAGAGGGGAAGACTGAAGAGGAAAAACAGATCTTACAGCACGCGTGGTGTAAAGAATGCAAGTTGGTTTCCAGATCCAGGAAGCTTCGAGTTTTCCAATTTCTGATTCAGGAAGTTTCAGCACGCGAGATCTTTATTAATCAGGAAGCTTCAGCACGCGATGCCATGACAGACGAGACCCGCTCGAGATGACCTCAAACCCGATGTGGGACTTTTGAGAGCTCGAAGCTTCCTGGATCTTTATGAAACTTTTGAAGCTTCATAAGAGAGATAAGGGACTTGAAACTTTTGAAGCTTCGATGCTATTTTTCAAATAATCACAGGGGCAGAGGAAGAGGAGGACAATGAACAGTGTGGTTGTCCTTCTTGATATTTAAAAAAAAAAAGTTACTTTACTTTACTTATTTTATAAAAATATTATTTTTATTGATATTCAGTGCAACAAATTGCCCTTTTTTGCTAGAAACCCATGCTTGACAATTTTCACAAGCTTTTCTTTCCCTAGATCTTGAATTTGTTTTTTGTTTTTGAAGGAGTTTTTGTGGAAGTAACATGAAGATGTTCTGGTCTCTGAACCTAACCGGTTCCTTTCGACTGATGGAGTGTTTTCCTTTTCTTCATTGTTAAGGATGAAAGCTAGCTTCCTCCTTTCGGAACACAACCTTAAGATGTTTATTGTTTTATATACATCTTTGAAAAATAAGATCAAATTATGAATACGGCTATATAGGTTGAAGGGTGCATTCTTACCTGACTTTTATACTTCAAACTTTGATGAGTTTTATATTTCAAAAGTTATGAAAGGGGGGAGGCGACAAGCAATGTATTGATGTAGCACAACCAGCTATAACAGGTACATCCCTTGCTCTTATTTAATTTCTTTGGGAACTAAACCATGTCAGCCGACTGATCAGTGGTGCTGATGTAATGAACCTGAAGCTGACGACGAGAAACCTGTTCACGAACGAAGTGAAAGTCTATCTCAATGTGCTTTGTTCATGCGTGAAACAAATGATTGACCATTAAATAGGTCGCACCAATATTGTCACACCAAAGAATAGGCGGACAGGGTGAAGTAATTTTTAGCTCAATGAAGAGAGAGCGAAGCCAAAGTAATTCAGAGGTGGCAATAGCAAGGCTTCTATATTCAGACTCCGCACTGGACCGGGACATAGTGGCATGTTTCTTGGACAGCCAAGAGATTAAATTGGACCTAAGAAAAATGCAAAAGCCACCGTGAGAGCGCCAATCATCAGGGCAGCCAGCCCAATTGACATCTGAGTAAGAATGCAACTCTAAGGAAGTGGATTTATGGAACACCAACCCATAATCTAAGGTTCCTTTGAGGTAGCATAAAACATGTTTCAACATAGCAAGGTATTCTTCAGTGGACTGATGAAGAAATTGATAGAGCTTGTTGACAATGATGCAATCTTTGGACATGTCAGTGTGGCATATTGGAGAGCTCCAACAAGTTTTTTGTAATCCGAGAGATTTGAGAGTGGAGCACTAGAGTTATTGGATAAAGAGGAGGGAGTAGACATGGGGGTGTTGATGGGCTTAGCATCAGCCATGTTTGACTTGTGAAGAAGATCCACTATGTACTTGCGTTGAGAGAGATGAAGAGCTGACTGAGTGTGTGTAACCTCTATGCCAAGGAAATAGTGCAAAGGACCCAGGTCCTTGATAGAGAAAGCCTTCCCCAATTTAGATATAAGCTTTGTGACCTCAGGAGAGTGTGAGTCAGTGATTATTATATCATTAACAAAAACAAGTACCAAGAGAATGCCATGAGAATAATGCTTGATAAATAACGATGAATCAGCCACTGAGTAATGGAAACCAGATTGTAGTAGAAAACCACAGAGTTTATGATGCCAAGCCCTTGGAGCTTGTTTAAGCCTGTATAGTGCTTTATGCCAGCAACAGACATATGTGGGTTTGGATGGATCAATGAAGCCTGGTGGTTGGGTCATGTAGACTGTTTCATGTAGTTCACCATGCAGGAATGTCGTATTCACATCTAAGTAGCGAAGGGACCACCCATTAGCAAGAGCAAGATGAAGTACAACCCGAAGAGTAAGTAGCTTCAAAACTGAACTAAAAGTATCTGTAAAGTCTACACCTTCTCGTTGCATATATCCTTTGGCTAAAAAGCGAGCTTTGTACTTGTCTATAGTCCCATTGGCTTTTTGTTTTAAACGAAAAATCCATTTGCAACCAACTTGATTGACATTAGGGGGAGAGGGGCACAAGGTCCAGATTTGATTGGCATGAAGTGAAGCAAGTTCATGCTGCATAGCAGCTAGCTAGCGAGGGTGACACATGGCTTGAGAGACTGACCTGGGTTCTGTCTCATCGAGAGACAATGGGTATTTTGTTGTAAGATGAAGATGAGGAGAGACATGGTTGGCTTGAGAGCGGGTTACCATGTGGTGACGACGAGGGGGTGGTGCAATTTGGTCAAAGGTTTGAGGGGTAAGGGGTTGAGTGGCGGCAAGGAGGTCAGCAATGGATCGAGTTTTGGGATTAGGAAGAGGAAGGTGATGGGTCAGATGAGGATGATGATGGTGAAGGAGTAGATGAGGGAGAGAAAGGTGTATGAAGAGGGGTAGGTAAAGATTTAGACGATGGTGGTTCAGATGAAGTATCATGTCGAATAGAACAAGACACTAGAGGTAGTGGTCCAATGAAAGAGTGGGGCAGTGAGTGTGGTGTAGTGAGTGGGGTAGGGGATGAAGCATGTGCAAATGGAAAATTTTCTTCATTAAAAACAACATGTCGAGATATGTAAAGCTTACCGGTGGGAATATGAAGGCACTTGAATCCTTTGAAGTTGCCACAGTATCCAAGGAAGACACAGGGAGTGCTTCTGAACTCGAATTTATGAGAAGTGTAAGGTCGGGTGTAGGAAAAACATTCACACTCGAAAGTCTTAAGTGAGAGAAAATTTGGCTTCCACTGGAAGATGCGTTCCAATGGGGATTGAAGATGAAGAACTTTTGTTGGCATTCGATTGATTAGGTGAACTGCCGTGTGAAATGCTTCATACTAGTATGTTTTGGGAACAAATGCATGAGCCAATAAAGCCAATATAGTTTCAACAATATGTCTGTGCTTGAGTTCAGCAGATCCATTCTGTTCAGGAGTGTGTAGGYAGAAGGTCCAATGGGCAATTCCATGCATGTCAAAGAATGGTTTTAGGCGTTTGTATTCAGTCCCTCCATCGGTTTGAAAGACTTTAAGTTTGCGATTGAGTAAACACTCAACTTGATTGAGAAAACATAATGAATACTAGGCACATCACTCTTATAAACAATTGGAAATATCCATGTAAATCTATTGAAGGAGTCAATGAAACTTACATAATAATGATAGCCAAAATGAGAAACTACTAGGGCTCGTCTCCATAAATCTGAATAAACAATGTCTAATGGGCCTGAGGCCTGAAATGAACTAGGAACAAAAGGTAGGCGATGCCCCTTTCCAAGTTGACAAGTAGAACAAAAGAGAGGCGTTTTGTTGAATGCAACTGGAATATTATTGTTTTCAATGATGTGTTTCATGATGTTGTTGTTGGGGTGGCCCAACCTATGATGCCAAGTGCTGAGAGCTGCCTTTTCACTAATGTATGCCTAGGGAAGCGGTTCATCATGACTGAATCTGTAGAGCCCACGATCAAGACTACCTTGAAGAAGAACCTTTTTYGACTTCCAATCCTTTACAAGCACATGAGAAGGGTGAAATTCAAGAAACACATCATTATCAAATGTGAAGCGTGCAACAAAGAGACGATTTTTAGTGATATTCAGCACATGAAGAGTGTCATGCAGAACTAGATTTTTATGAGAACTTGAGAGAGAAGTGGTGCCAATATGATGTATATTCCACCCTATACCATTACCTATTCGCAGTTGTTCAGGTCCTGTATATTCATTGTGAAGTTTCAGATAGTTGAGATCATTAGTGACATGGTGACTAGCATCGGAATCAACATACCATGAGTGATTTGCTGAGGGAGGTGAGGTTGCAGTTTCTAACATATAGGCTGAAGGTTTTTGAGGTGTATACTTAATGGAGGCATCAAAACGACTCTTACAGGTGAGAGCTGAATGATTAGGACGATTACAGATTTGGCATGGGCTCCCTTTGTATCTTATAGTGTTCTTGTGAGGTGATTTGTCTTTGTACTCACTATCTTTATCGCTGAAAGGCAGTCGAACAGGCTGATTATTTTTCTTGAATGTTCGACCCTTGGAAGTAAGGTGGGCTGAAGCATCAAGGCTGAAGTCTGTAACCTTCTTGTGTGCTCTTAGCATTTTGATTTCTTGTTGGAGTAGCAGGCTTTGCAGTTCATCATTTGAGAAACCATCAGGTATGGTAAGTACAACAATAGTGAAGTGCTCAAAGTCACTTGGAAATCCCTCCAATGTTTGATATATGAGATCAGATTCAAACAGGGGTTCTTCAGCCGTAGCCAGTGCATCTAAGATATTCTTGATCTTTAGAAGATAATCACCCATAGTCATTGCTCATTTCTTGAGGTCATTGAGTTTGAATAGAAGGTGCATGATGCGAGCCTTTGATTTTGGAGCATACAGAGTCTCGAGCATTGACCACACTTGTCTAGAAGTAGTACAACCCACAATCTGGGCTAGTACATGCTCTGTGAAAGATGAAAGGAGTCAACTTAGGAGAAGCTGATCTTGGATCCACCATGTTTTGTAGTTTGGGTTTTCAGTTGGAATTGTAGATGATGGTGTTGCTGGTGAAAGTCTGGCTGGGCATAGATATGATCCATCAATATAATTGAGTAGCTCATGCCCAGACAGTACAGGATAGATATGAGATTGCCACAGTAGGTAGTTGTGGCAATCCAGTTTGACTGATATCAATTGGGTGACATTGAAGCAGAGATTAATAGGGCATGGGGTTGTTGGATTGCTGTTTTGGGATTGAGATTGAAGGCCGAGTTGAGAATTGATGAAGGAAGACATGGTCGGTGAAGGTTTGATAGCCTAAGCTATGATACCATAAAAGAGTTGGTCGAATGAATAATAATAATTCATTGAATTGACAAAGGTATGTATACATCAAGAAGGATAAAAGCAGTTGCAGATTACAGGAGATAAGATATAGAGAAGATAAAGACAGAGATACGGAGATAATGATGTTATCTACAACTACAACAAGTGGTTATCTCAAACACTAATCGTCCTTATTGGGTTGGTTGGCTAACAATTTCATACATAGTGATAATGTGGTAGTGGCACTTTTTTTTCAAGAAAACAGCATCGGTTTCCGAACACTAATCTCTCTCTCACATTGACCTCATATATAGAGCAGTCTTCTTTGTCATATATTGTCCATGGTGATGGCTTTTTAAGACTTTGTACCCCACTCCAAAGAGCTTTTCCATGGAGGTGTTTGGCTTTGCAAAATATCCCCTGCCTAGACAATTCATAAGCAATGTTTGGTGAAAAACCTAGAAAGCTCAGATTTGTTGTTCCGCCCTCCCAAGTGGGCACTAAACAACATTGAACAAGGTATGAAAACAAGCTTCCCTACAAAGTGTTTTTTTTTCTTTTTTTTTTTTTTGCTGAATGGAAGAAAATATGGTCTTTTAGGAATTTTCACCAAGCATTGCTTAGGCTACATTTGGAATCGGTGTAAAACGTCATTGGTATAAAAGTGTAAAATTTTACATCGATTTTTACATTGATTTTATCGATATAGTATTTACATCGATAGTTGATGTAAAACATTACGTTTGATGAGGTTTTACATTGATTCACGATGTATAACTCCACTCCATCCAAATGCCAACAAATCTAAACTGGAGTGGAGTTTAACATCGATCTTCATTTACCCTCCATCCAAATGCCGACAAAACCGAACCGGCATAAACTTTTACATTGCTTGCAAACACAGCCTTATGGACTGTTCCCATGGGGCTTATCTCACAAACCCAAAAGTTGCAGCATGAATACCCATTTAGAAGGTGTTAAGCACATTGGCTTCTAGCTTTCCACGGTGAATCCTACATGGACATCCTATAAGTTATTAATGATGGACTTTACATTGTTAAATTGAATTTGTTCATTACTCTTTTTCTTGTTATTGAATCACATGCCTTGTACTCCCATAAAGGTTGTAATTTATTTTTCTTGAACATAATACAACACTTTTTCAGCAACAATCTAATAACTCTGCTCCAAAGAGGATGAGAGTCGGGGCTCGAAATCACATCTCTTATGAGACTAATCAATTTACATGTTTTAAGGAGGTAATTTGGTCGTGTTGACATAAATTGGTACACCTTGGAGAGATGGCATTGGCTGCCCACAGAGCGTGCCCCATAGCCCATGAGTTCGCATCTGCGCCCCACAACATATCTCAGCGTGCACCGGGAGCATCAAAATATTCTATAGCATCCATAAAGGCATACTARSAATGGAAAGAAAATGAAGCAGCTAGTTTAGAAGGTTCAAAAGTAAAAGAAAGAAAAACAAAGGGATTTTTTTCATAGCCTGCAGCTGCAAACATCCTTGTTCAGATCTAGGTATAAACCTCCTTTTTTTCTTAAGCATCTTTTGTTGCTTCAGAACTTCTTCAATGTCAAAGACAGATAACAGATGGTATCATGCAACTTATCAACAACTTCTTGTTTCCTTTGCTGTAGCTGCAAAAGAAATTCTAGCAGCAACTCCTGCTCCTCTATTTCCTCCCTTAGAAAGGTTAAGTATCATTTCATCTATTATGAACAAATGACTACTAAGTAAATACAGATGCTAAACACATGTCCACAGCCACATTATTTATTTCAAAGCACAAGGATTTAAAGACATGATCAATGCAATAACAGATGAAAGAAAGCTGATCAAAGGTGAGAGCAAGAAGTTGCTTCAAATACCAATATAAAAGTAATGGAAGTCTTGAAGTCTGCGGCTTCTAGATTTATGAATTCCATAATAAGAATGRCCGGCCACCATAACTAACCAAAAAATAAAAAACTAATGGCCACCATAAGAATTCCAGAATATGAATTCCAAAATATGAGTTTGTGACTTTGGGTCATAGATGGGGAAAAGGTTTTTTGGTGAAGAAGTTTAGCTTGAAAATGGAAGTGATCATGTGGGCCTGATCCCATATAAACTTAGGGGGGTGGAGGCTGGGGGGGTTTATTTAAAGAGTAGCCCCCACAACCCCAAGTTTGCCTAGGAAATATAATGGTTAATTTGGGTCAAAATATTAGAGTAGCTTTTCATTTTTTTATTTTTATTTTTGGGTAAGTAAATATGAGGGTAGGTTAGTTGATTGGAATATACCCACATTTATATAGTTTTAGGCATTTAGTTAGGGAAATAATTAATAGAGAGGTGATTATCAGCAGTTAAAAATTAAGCTTCATTTGAACATTATTTTAGGGTTCAGCTCCCAATTACAATATTTTGGGTGTGCATCCACATAAGTGCATACACAACAACCCATTAACTCCTTATTGCAAGAGGGCTTATATCTAGCAAACATGATACATTTGAATGCAATGCTTAGAACAACCAACAAACATAACCATGGTAAGTTAAAGGATGTCAAATGAAAGTATCTTCCATTAAATAGGAAATTTTGACTTGTAGCCTCTTTCGGGACAGTTGCTACTTTTTTCCATGGGAACTTACCTCTCCAGAACCATTTTGTCGGAAAACCAAATGAATAAATTATTAAATAAATAAATATAAAAGATATATGAAAATGTACTCTGCCTTTATACAAAAACAGAAAAATAAAATGAAAAAATATTTTCAGTGCCATCATATATACTAATGATTATGCACTTGGGACTTGGGAGATATGCCAAATATAAAGCACTACCGATCTAACCAAATTTCTCAAAGTTGTTTTGGAAGAACTCAGTGGTTAAAATACCTGTGCCTGCAATTTGTGACAATGTGTTCTGGAAATAACTAGGTGCCTTTCTATCATTAAACAATCCAACATTGCTAACTCCCCATTTTTTGGTATTTGTTACATAATACGATGCTGGAGCAAGAGTTTCATTTTCACTCTCAAAAATTCGACCAGTAGGAGATGCCATAGCTAGACCACCGCACTTGACTGAAAAGTTTGCATCTGTAAAAATAAATTATCATGGTTGAATGGTTCAAATTAGTTTCAATATAGTGCATAAGCATAAATATGGGGTAGCTGAGCAAACATAATATGTGGTTCTTCAACAAATACACCATGTGTATGGCATGGTGAATTGGCAGAAGTATGAATATGAGGCTTCCTTAACCCTAACCTAAATATGTCTCGCTTTTATCACTCCATTAAGGTTCTTTGGAAGGGTGCCAATGATATCCTTCAATGTAACATTTTCAAGCAGTGGTTCTCCAATTTGGGTAAAGCCATAACTTTCAGCTAGATGCTTTCTTTGCTCTGCACTGTCTACTGTAGGTGGTTGAACTGGAACTGCCACAGTCTGTACAATTCTAGTGCCTCTGTGGTGAGATAAAAATTGATGTCTCCTTCCTCCTTCAGGAAGGATTCCCCACTTCACATGGCACATACTTGTTTATGATTAGAAATCATATTAGTGCGCCTGTAAATGCTGGCAGGAGCATACCCATAAGCTATAGTCAAAGGAAAATAATAAACACGTGCTTTCTCTTAACATGCTGAAGGAAATCTCAGGTTCCAATACAAACCAAGGACAAGAGAAAATAGAAAACATATTTCAGTGCATTAAACACTTTGAAATAAAGTATCTTAGTTAAAGAAACCACAAATTATTTTCAATGCATTCACTCCCTTCTTTTCTTCTACTCTGAAAATTCTTTCTAGAGGGAGGAGGCCCAGTTTGGCCACCTCTTATGGCTGAGGAAAACACCTAACAAATTTTTAAGGCATAATCAATTTTTTTTCTCAGGTACAATCTTCGCCTTAGGAATGATCAAAGTCTCAGAATAAAAAAAATAATGAAATTCGATGATGAATATGGATCATCTTCTTTCCAAAAAGGGCAACAAGGACGAATGTTCAAATGCTTTTAAGAAAGCAGGGGACCTAGAAAAAGATGCCACAACCACTAAACAAGTGGAAAATGTTCTTATTAAGTGTCCTGTAGCAAGACAAGCTCAGAGTTTATGAAAATTACTAGCCCACATAGATTTAGAATAAAGAAGACCAATAAAACTGGACATTGTAACCAATAAGTTAATGTCTAACATATTTGAAGAAAGGAAATATTTTCAGTGCCATGTCATGAACACAATATCGGAACTTTCTTGAGAAATTTTCTAGGGATAGTTATACATCCTTGTATACAACATAGAAAATGATATAACTAAAAATGCCAAAAGGTGACCCAAGTTTGGTGGAAAATTTGTTATTGACAAACACGTAGAGCAGGTCAGAAACAGTTTACATATCGGGTACAAAAAAATCAAGTTGGGATCTAACTTGTCATACAATGGCATTGTAGTTTTAAGGGCTTGCACAATCTCTTGCTACTTGTGTAATATAGTCA